CCCCCCCCCCCCCCCTCCCCAGTTTAGGGTTTAGGGTTTAGGGTTTAGGGTTTAGGGGTTAGGGGTTAGGGTTTAGGGTTTAGGGTTTACAGAACATCAATCGAATAGAAAAGAAGGAATGAATAAGAAACGTTGTGTCACGGTGATTGGGGGTTGGGAGGGTGGGGGGTCTGGGGTTTAGGATTCAGGGTTAGGGCGGTTTGAATGTCTAGGCTTTTGTAAGGGTAGCAAGGTTTGGGGGTGTGAGTTTAGGGGTATGCGATATGGGGTAATAAGAGGGTTGGGGGTCATACTGTTAGGGTTTGCAAGATTCGTGGTTTGGGCAAAGAAGAGTTTAGAAAAGGTCAGGGGTTGCGGCTTTATAAGGTTTATGCTTGGGCGTCCTCTTGCTTGGTCCGGGAGTAAGGCTCGGGGCTTGGCGTGTCACCTAAACCCTAAACCCTAAACCCTAAATCCTAAACCCTAGCCCTATTTCTTAGCAGAACCCCTTTAACACACAAGAAATCTGTAAAGCTAGCGACCATTTCCAAAAATCGGTCCTAGCTTGCAGGGTACTTCGTGTCTACTCGTGGTTAGACCCTAAACCTAAACCCTAAACCCTAAGATTCCAGGAGACCACCGGATGTGCCGTTCACTCCACCCAGCGCGGCGTAGCGCTGCTCACCTGGCGGAGCTGCCAGGCGCAAACGGAGGTTAGGGTTCAGGGTTTAGGGTTCAGGGTTTAGGGCTCAGGGCTTAGGGTTTCGGGTTGGGGTTGGCGTTCAGGGTCTCAAGCCAAGTCTTTGGGCGTCGATTACGGACCTTTCCTGGATGAGACCACCCTCACCCCCCTCTCTGATGTTTGTTAGGCTTTAGGGTTTTTGGAGTTGAGGAATTTGGGGGTCAGGACTTTAGGGGCTCACCCTAAACCCTAAACCCTAAACCCTAAACCCTAAACCCTAAACCCTAAACCCTAAACCCTAAACCCTAAACCCTAAACCCTAAACCCTAAACCCTAAACCCTAAACCCTAAACCCTAAACCCTAACCCTCAGTTCTGGCAGCTTCCGGTTTGGGTCTCGACCGGGTCTTGGGGCAAGCTTTCTGGTAGCCTCGACGACAGCTTTGCCGTAAAGTGAAGCAAACACCGATAGCCTCAGTCCTAAACTATTCTACTTTGTTGCTTATAAGAACCACCCAAAAAAATAAGCAAAGTCTTCCTTGTTAGGGCAATACAGGGATGATTTTTCTATTTCGGGGTAGTAAGTGGAGGCCGTCGAAACATTGCATACATCCCGGGTTCCGAGCGCTCACATGCCTAAACCCTAAACCCTAAACACGAAGCCCAACAATATCCGCGCTGGGAGCTCGAACAGCTTTCCCAAGTTGATGAGAACCCAGCCTCGGAGCCTATAACCCTAAACCCTAAAAACTAAACACTAAACCCACCCTGAACCCTAAACCCTAAACCCTAAACCCTAAACCCTAAAACCCTAAACCCTAAACCCTATACCCAAACCCTCAACCGAATCAGGCCCCCGCCGCACGGGTCCCCCTGCGACTCCACAACTTCGAGGAGCCGGTGGTCTTGGAATTACCTGGGACGGACCACGTTCCAGGCGGTTTAGGGTTTAGGGTTTAGGGTTTGGGGTTTAGGGTTTAGGGTTTGGGGTTTAGGGTTAAGTACGCTGCGTCTTGGGTTCTTTTCGGTTTAAAGGGCTTGCTGCCCTAAGCCCTGCGGACCCCAGGTTTGTGAACCCTGCGGGGTAGATTTTACACATTGACATAGGCCCTAAACCCACGACCCTAAACCCGAAGGCCCTTAATCCTAGACCCTATAATTCCTAAACCTGAACTTCTGGTAATTCGTAGTTCAAGGAGGTTCAAGGGGGATGTCGCAGCCTGCATCCGGATTTGTTGAGGCTTCAAGGGCTCAAGGGATGTAGGCCTTCAGGTTTTTCAGGGTTCTCAGGCTTTAGGATTCAGGTTCCAAGGTTTAGGGTTCAGCCAAAGGCGAGAATCAAGGTTATCATCCAGGCTCCTGCATTTGTGTTGGGGGTTGTTGGTTCAAGTCGCTCCCGGCGCCACACACAGGAACTTGTGTACCCTAAACCCTAAACCCTAAACCCTAAACCCTAAACCCTAAACCCTAAACCCTAAACCCCTAAACCCCTAAACCCCTAAACCCCTAAACCCCTAAACCTTAGAACTATTGGCGAAGACGACAACGCACATCTTACAACGACTGCCGATCTGTCGCCAACGTTGGCAGAAGATCACAGGCTCCCCCCCTTTCAGTTCCCGAGATTCTCTAGGCTGTCCATCACGGCATTGGGGTTTAGGGTTTAGGATTTAGGGTTTAGGGTTTAGGGTTTAGGGTTTAGGGTGAAAAACAGAAAAACAAGATCCGAACTGTGGAATCCTGGCACGCGGCTCACGACAGGAATGGCATTGGCCTGGCTCTCAAAGTTGCCCCTTCACGCAGTTCTACACCCGAACAGCCTCAAACCCCCCATACCCCA